AGAAGTGCAGAATCAACTAGGCAACGTCTTCAACGCCATGAAGGCATAAGGACTCAAAATTGTCGATTACTTGGTAAGACGAACTAGCACACCCTTCATAACAAATGTGCGAACTATCCACTTTCCCAAAATTTCAAAATGCCATCGGTAGAAACTTTCGACGGTACAAAGGACTCACTTGATCATCTCGAAACCTACAAAGACTTTAATGTAGCTACACAACGTCCTCGATGAAATTATGTGTAGGGCATTCCCTACCACCTTGAAGGGATCAGCGCGACAATGGTTTACCAAAATGAGCAAACCCGTTGTGACACAGTTCATTGGTGGACGCCGCCAGCTGAAGTCTGCCATCTATATGCTCAGCATAAAATAAGATCGAGATGAGAGTCTAAAGAGTTGTCTCACTCGTTTTAACGAGGAGGTCCTTCAAATCGAGGAGCCTAATGACAAAGTTACCATAACCGCCTTCCTAGGAGGTCTCTGTTCATCGACTTTCCTTTTTTCAATAATGAAATGACCACCAAAGAGTATGTCAGATTTATTGGCAAAAAGTTCAAAAATATATGAATGTTGAGGAAATCAACAGGTCCAGGCGAGGTGAATCATCTCGCGGATCACCAAAAGCTTGACCTACTTCTGCATTATTTTCAAACAGACAGCCTATATCTCTAGGTTAGTAGCTCTCTCACGGGTTGCCAAAAGCTTGACCTTTGCACTGCTCTCAAGCAAGCAGCCTATATCTCCAACTGAGCGGCTCTCTCACAGGTTGCTAAAAGTTTGGCCTATGCACTGCTCTCAAGCAAGCAGCCTATATTTCGAGCTGAACGACTCTCTTTTGGGTCGCTAATAGCTTAGCCTTTGCACTGCTCTTAAGCAGACAACCTATATTTTCAGCTGACGCGACTCCCTCACGGGTTGCCAAAAACTTAGCCTTTGCACTGATCTCAAGCAGACAACCTATACCTCAAGTTTAATGACTCTTCCATGGATTGCCAAAAGTTAGGTCTCAAAAGGTGTAGCTCTCTCACGAGCAATCCTCTAGGCAGGTAATTATGTAAGATATTTTAATATTTGAAATAACATTATTTTTGTCATCTCTAGGCAGGCACTTGAAACTCAGGTCGTTTGCAACCCAAATGACTACATTAAATTGAATGTCAATAATCAAGCATCATCCTTTTGTGTCCGTGCAGCACCACCACCTCGTTGCCATAGCACCCCCACGTTTAACACCTAAAGGAAACATATTTTTTTTTCTGTGCTTCCAACACTAAGGATCTGACACCTATTCCCCTGCCTGCACTTGTCCACAAATAACATTCCTCCATCGCAGGCCTTCACTGCCAAGCCTGACTCGCCTCGTCATCCAGCTGTGCCTAGCACCATGGCCACCTCTCTAGTAGGGCCCAACACCACAGGTGCCACTCCTTTAGCGGTTGCCTGACCAATGATGCCCAACAGGTCCTTAGTGCCCAACCGCATCCTGCCCAGCGCCAAGGACGCCTCGCGCACAATAGTGACGCCCAGGGCTTCAAGCACAACTGGTTCGCCTAACTCCCTGCCCAGCGTGCGCTGCCTCCCCAGTTTCCTCCCTTAGCTCGTCCAGCCCCTAGGCACGAGCAGCGTACTCGCCCAAGCTACTCCTAATTTGCTCGTCAGCGCAGACAGTAGCGCCCAAACCACCCAGTGCTATGCGCCCTTAGACTACTCGCCCATCTCCATGTTGGACCTCCCCCCCTTACGCGAGCAAGCTACTTGCCTAGACTACGTGAATTGGTGCCCAAGTCATCCCCTTTCTTGTCGGTCTTCTCCATTGCGTGGATAACGGGCCTATCTACGCCCAGATCAGCACCCCTCAGTGCTTGCTAGCCCAAATCAGCATTGACTGCCTCAACGCCAATTACTCCATCGCTATAGAGACATTCTATAAAGCTAAAATATATAAGGAAAGGAATGAAGGAGTTCATATAATCAATGGAGTCCCACAAGCAAAAGAAGTCTATTGGAAGGGAAAGGTCGTCGATCAAGGGGAGTTTTCAAAAAATTTGGATTTAAAAAGGATTGTACGCTATTTTGACCGTAACTTTTGATCCGAAACTTCAAACGAGGTTTATCATATATCAAATCGAAACTTTCGGCGAGCCCTACAAAACTAAAAGATTTGTAAAAAGTTCAAAAAAGGCCTAGAAACAAATGTTTTGGCCTTCCGAAGTTTAAAAAAAAAAAATCAGCTGCTTGCTCGCCCAAAACAGTGCCATCTCGCCCAGAACAGTGCCTGCTCGCCCAGATGCTGCCCGCTCGTCCAAATCACACACCCAGCTCCATGCTTGCTATTTTGACAGTAACTTTTGCTCTGTGACTCCAAACGGGGCTTTTTATATATCAAGTCGAAACTCTCGACAAGCTCTACAAGTCTCAAAGCCTATAGCTGTGATTGATGCTGTAAAAAGTCCAAAAAAGTCCTAGAAACAAATGTTTTGGCCTCCCAAAATTTTTTCAGTTATGCTAGTCAACCGAAAATTCAAACTCAAACTGAATGCTCTCCTTTTCAAGTTCTGTTACACACAGGGCATTGGGGGGCAAATGCTGGCCCAAGCTCAAGGGACCTAACTCAAATTATAAACCCAGTCTAAGTTTATAGCCCATCTCCAAGAGATTCAGCAAGCCAGTTCAATACGGTCAACTCCAGACAAGCTCATCAAGATCAAGGAGCTACATCAGCAGAGGAGCATGCAAGGTCATCCAAGAGCCTTCTTTACTACCTTGGAGTAAGGGTCATCTAAGAGCATTCTTTACGCCACCAAGGGAGCATCCAGGAGTCTCATCCTCGTCGCTTGGAGAGAGTCAACATTCCCTCATCCTTTGACCAAGTCTTTTAGAGAGCATCATAACTTCCTTGGCCATTGAGGAGATGAGAGGTCGCCAAACTATTTAATCACTGTTAAAGTCACCCCCAATCCGTTATGACTATTAAACAACCTCAATCCGTTATGACCGTTTGATTAGCTGTTTAATTAATATCCATTATAAAACGACTATAAAATGTAAGCCCCGCCAACACTTGGGAGGCATCAGACTCATTTTGAGATAATTCTCTCCTCCTTTTTCAAAGCTTGTAACATTCTGCTCTCCTTCCATAGCGGAGATAATAAAATACCGACGACACTTGCCATTCAAAGTGGACATAGGTCATATTGATCGAACCACTATAAACCTTATCTTCTCTCTCCCTCTATTTATTTTATTATATTTTATACTGCATATTTGACAGGTGGTGTGCAAACTAATTTGTGCATCATCAAATATCAAATAAATGTTTTGTACTCAAATATTAATTTAAATTTGAGTCAATGTTAAAATTGGTCTTACACCCTTCACCCCCCTTTTTTTTTTGTTTTTCTTACGTCATCAAATCAAGTAAAGGGCAAAAAAAAAAAGGGTAAAAATTATAGTTGAACCTTGAACTTTGTCTTTAATTTTAATTTGATGTTTGAATTTTTAATTATCTAAATATATTTGTTAACTATCAATTTCATTTCAATTAAGTTATTCCATTCATTTTTCATGGTTAGATCAACATTGAAAAAGAGTAGTGGTCCGTTTAGTATGAATAATGGAAAGATGGAAAAAGGAAAAGTAGAAAGAATAAACTTTCCACCATTGAAGGAAATATAATTATTTTTCTTCATTTTTACGTGATAGGAAGGATGAAAAATATGATGAATATATTTTTCATCATTTGCCTAATTTACAATTCTATCCTTAAATAATAAATTGTGTATTAGTGCAGTATATATATTAGAATATACTGAAGGGTAAAAAAATAAACTTATCTTAAAAAGCATATTGTCCTACTTTTCATTCTCATTTTCTGTTTGGGAGAAAAAAATTGTGGGCGGGGAGGGAAATACTCTCCCTCCACTTTTTTTTTTCTTCATATTTTTCTTTGATATCAAATAATAAAAAGTGTAAATTATATTCAAATTATCTAAGGTTTGTCACTTAATCAGACAGACCTCTTCACATTTGACATATTACATTTAGACCCTTTAAGGTAATTTGTCAAACATGAAAGATCTATTTGATTCAGCGATAAATTTTAAAGAGTCTAAATGTAATTTATTCTAATAAAAAATCTTTTACTAGCCAAATTTCATTAATACGGCATAAAGGGTGGGCGAATGGAAACCACAAGGTATTGAAGTTGTACCTCAAGATAGGGGGTGTCAAACGTGGGTGGTTAAACGGGTGACGGGTGAAAAATATATAAATTCGTACACGACATGCTTAATAAATTGATAAAAAATCTCAACACGAACACGATCTGTTTAATAAACTGGTAACACAATACGATTCATTTAATGCATTTAATTTAAAAAAATATATATTAATAAATTTTAATATTCTATATTTTTTTATTGTCAATTTTACTTACCTCAAAAAAGAGAAATTTTTAGTCAAATCTCATAAAAATAAGACTTGTAAATTTAAAAAAAAAAAAAGCAAGAGGCCATTATTTTATATAGACAACTCAACCCTTCTCATCTCCCCTTATTTTTCAATATAGGACAAAAACAAAAGGCATTGGTTTGTCTTTGTATTGGTTTGTCTTTGTATTTGAAGTGTTTCTCATCTCCTATCTTGTCTTTGAACTACTACTTTATTTGTTTTTTTTATTGATTTTTTTATTTTTTTTTAATTTTTTAAAATAATTATTAATTTATTATTATATTAATTTTATTTAAACGGATAAATATGTGATAAACGGTTTGACAGGTCTCACCCGAATATGATCCGTTTATTAAACGTGTTTAGCGTGTCAACTCGTTTATCATTCAAATCCGTTAAAATTTCACCTAAACTCCTTCAATTCGTATCGATTAATAATATCGTATCAAATTTTTGATAATTTTAGCTCAAAAAAGAAAAAAAAAAAGATAAAAACACGAGAGAAGAAAACTCTTGCCAGAAGGAAGCTAGCTCATGGTAGTGTCTGCTCAATCAGTGTCTGATCGAGCTGGCAAAGCTATTATTACGTCCAGAGAGAGCGAGAGAGAGAGAACAAAGCAAAAAACCAGTATAGCCCCCGGTGTCAGATTCGTAGGCTACGCGCGATTCGGGGTCAGAGAAACCTCCATTTTCTTTCCTTCCCATTCTATTCTGACCACCCACGACACGACGCGTCCAAGAAAATTCTCAGAAACCCAAAAAAACTACCTTCTCAACTCTCTCTCTCTCTCTCTCGTTTTCTTCCCTGTGATTCTGTTTCTTTCTGTGGGAGAGAAAAGAGACGACGATGCAGAGGCCACAGGATCAGCGGTCAAGATCTTCCAAGCCAACCACCATACATGGTTGTGCCCAGTCTGGTGATCTCACTGGGTTGCAGAAGTTGATTCGGGATAACCCTTTTCTTCTCAATGATCGAAACCCTGTTGTAAGATCTCTGTCCTGTGTATGTTACATTTTTTATGTAAGCATGCATGTGAATTATAAGACAAAGAAAACATTCTTTTATTGTATCACTTATCAAATGCTGTTGTTGCTTCAAGGAATTTGTAATCTATGCAGAAGCATTTTTCAGAATTTGTCTGAATTTCTGAGATGGGTTATGTCTCAGAGTCTTGCATTTGGTCAATTTCATGGTAATCAATCATAATGATGTCATTATTGAACCGCAGCCCACTGATATAATTGGGGCATTTTAGTTTTCTATGCTAAAACCCTAGTGATCAACTTATCATTGCCCAAAATCTGTCAAGCCTATATGCATTAGCCAATATATGCTGTTTACTATGTAAGAAGGCCATATTGATCTCGTTTTATAGACTATTTGGAGCCCGGTCCACCAGACTCGCAGTGGCTGGAAGATCATCACGGGGCTGCCTTTTTTTCTTAGAATTTTTCTCAATGACATTTTTAATTCCTTTATAATTGTAGTAATTTATTAGATGTGGGTTGAATCTATGTCCTTCCTTTCGCTTGTCAATATGTGTGAGGTTGTGTGGAGACAGTGCTGTTCCTTTTATATTTATATACTCTTTTCTCTTGTATGCAGATGGTGCAGACACCACTTCATGTTTCTGCGGGTTACAATAAGGTTGAGGTAGTTAAATTTCTGCTTGGTTGGCGAGGACCAGAAAAGGTCGAGTTGGAAGCAAAGAACATGGTGCGTGAAAGTAATATATATTGTGAAATGTTGTGTAGTGGCCTGTCACAATTATGTTAAGCCTCTGTGGCTTGCCTTGTTTTTTTGTGTTATTCCTTGATTTAAACATATTGTGCTTTGCAGTATGGAGAAACTCCATTGCACATGGCAGCTAAGAATGGGTGCAATGAGGCTGCAGAAATGCTTCTTGCTCATGGTGCTTTTATTGAAGCCAAAGCGAATGTATGTTCTCTGCCCATCTTGTTCATGTTCTATTTGAGTTTAAGTAACCAGAGCTTGGAGATAAATGGGTTACTTTCCCAACCTTCTCTTCTTTTTTCATGTCTTTCATGCAGAATGGGATGACTCCATTGCACCTTGCTGTTTGGCACTCACTCCGAGCTGAAGACTGCTCAACTGTCAAGACATTGCTCGAGAATAATGCCGACTGCTGTGCCAAAGACAATGTATTATTAATTGACTATTATTTGGCAAATTCCACTCCAATCCTATGTATTTTAGTACCTTTCTTATTAGTGAAACCTTGGAAATGCAGGAAGGCTTGACTCCTTTAAATCACCTCTCCCAAGGACCAGGAAGTGAGAAGTTGCGACAACTTCTTCATTGGCATCTTGAAGAGCAGAGAAGACGTAAAGCCATTGAAGCATGCAGTGAGACAAAAGCTAAGATGGATGAACTTGAAAAGGAATTATCAAATATAGTGGGTCTGCATCAGCTTAAGTTACAACTTCAGAAATGGGCAAAGGGTATGCTCTTGGATGAGAGGCGAAGGGCCCTCGGGCTAAAAGTCGGCACTCAAAGGCCTCCTCATATGGCCTTCCTTGGAAATCCTGGAACAGGTAATTGGTGGCCCGATTATGGGTGGATCAAAATTATATTCCCTCATATCTCTGAATACTGGTACATAGAAATACCGCACTCTACGCCTTCTATTNTAATGATGTCATTATTGAACCGCAGCCCACTGATATAATTGGGGCATTTTAGTTTTCTATGCTAAAACCCTAGTGATCAACTTATCATTGCCCAAAATCTGTCAAGCCTATATGCATTAGCCAATATATGCTGTTTACTATGTAAGAAGGCCATATTGATCTCGTTTTATAGACTATTTGGAGCCCGGTCCACCAGACTCGCAGTGGCTGGAAGATCATCACGGGGCTGCCTTTTTTTCTTAGAATTTTTCTCAATGACATTTTTAATTCCTTTATAATTGTAGTAATTTATTAGATGTGGGTTGAATCTATGTCCTTCCTTTCGCTTGTCAATATGTGTGAGGTTGTGTGGAGACAGTGCTGTTCCTTTTATATTTATATACTCTTTTCTCTTGTATGCAGATGGTGCAGACACCACTTCATGTTTCTGCGGGTTACAATAAGGTTGAGGTAGTTAAATTTCTGCTTGGTTGGCGAGGACCAGAAAAGGTCGAGTTGGAAGCAAAGAACATGGTGCGTGAAAGTAATATATATTGTGAAATGTTGTGTAGTGGCCTGTCACAATTATGTTAAGCCTCTGTGGCTTGCCTTGTTTTTTTGTGTTATTCCTTGATTTAAACATATTGTGCTTTGCAGTATGGAGAAACTCCATTGCACATGGCAGCTAAGAATGGGTGCAATGAGGCTGCAGAAATGCTTCTTGCTCATGGTGCTTTTATTGAAGCCAAAGCGAATGTATGTTCTCTGCCCATCTTGTTCATGTTCTATTTGAGTTTAAGTAACCAGAGCTTGGAGATAAATGGGTTACTTTCCCAACCTTCTCTTCTTTTTTCATGTCTTTCATGCAGAATGGGATGACTCCATTGCACCTTGCTGTTTGGCACTCACTCCGAGCTGAAGACTGCTCAACTGTCAAGACATTGCTCGAGAATAATGCCGACTGCTGTGCCAAAGACAATGTATTATTAATTGACTATTATTTGGCAAATTCCACTCCAATCCTATGTATTTTAGTACCTTTCTTATTAGTGAAACCTTGGAAATGCAGGAAGGCTTGACTCCTTTAAATCACCTCTCCCAAGGACCAGGAAGTGAGAAGTTGCGACAACTTCTTCATTGGCATCTTGAAGAGCAGAGAAGACGTAAAGCCATTGAAGCATGCAGTGAGACAAAAGCTAAGATGGATGAACTTGAAAAGGAATTATCAAATATAGTGGGTCTGCATCAGCTTAAGTTACAACTTCAGAAATGGGCAAAGGGTATGCTCTTGGATGAGAGGCGAAGGGCCCTCGGGCTAAAAGTCGGCACTCAAAGGCCTCCTCATATGGCCTTCCTTGGAAATCCTGGAACAGGTAATTGGTGGCCCGATTATGGGTGGATCAAAATTATATTCCCTCATATCTCTGAATACTGGTACATAGAAATACCGCACTCTACGCCTTCTATTTTGGAAGATGATCTTTTGCTGGTATGTATGCATTTGTGTGTGTGTGTGTGTGTGTGCGCATACTCAACACTCAACGAAAGTTGTTCAGGGCTCATACCACGGATTATGCGATACAGTTAACCAAATTCTATCAGTTTATGGTCTTCTATGAGATTAAATTGGATGGCCCTTTTAATTTTGTATTATAGACTGCATACATTATGATGAGATAAAATTGCAATGGCAACTTTATTCGTCTTAAGCTTGTTAGGCTGCATTTGAAGCTTGGCCAGCCTTTGCTGAATGGAGCAAGGAGTGGTCTTTGTCTCTGATGTCCAACTTACGTGAACACTCCCTTATTTTGTCGTTGCAACCTATACCTTCAAGAATCCTCCTGATGCGATTCACAACGACTTAATACTTTTATCTTGGATCACCGAATTGACAGAACTGCTTTTGCATGTAAACCTATGTTGTATCTCACTGAGTTTTTCTTGGGGACAACATATGCTGTTGTAGAACAGTAAAACACCATATGGATGTCATTAACTTTATTTTAAAATTTCCGTTAACTATAAATTAATCTTAATGTGTTTATATTTGTCAAAATTATTCTTTGCTGTTAATGTATAGCTTATGAATTTTTGGAGAAAAGAAAGTTACATCCCCGAAACTATATATTTTTATGTAAATTTTCATTTTTTGTACATAATGTATGTGAACCAATTAAAGATGAATTTTTTTTTATCTAATAGGTAAAACCATGGTGGCTCGAAGCCTTGGAAAATTACTTCATATGGTGGGCATTCTACCTACAGACAAGGTAACGGAAGTACAGAGAACTGATTTGGTTGGGGAATTTGTTGGTCACACGGGACCAAAGACTAGGAGAATGGTATGCGATGATTATTTTTTAAATGGGTATTAGCCTTTATTGGCTGTAGCTTATGTTACAAACTATATTGTCGAACTAATTTATCACGCATTATGTGCAGATCAAAGAAGCAGAGGGGGGTATTTTATTTGTGGATGAAGCATATCGATTAATACCTATGCAGAAGTCTGATGATAAGGACTATGGGTTGGAGGCCTTGGAAGAGATCATGTCTGTCATGGATAGTGGAAAAATCGTAGTTATTTTTGCTGGCTATAGTGAACCAATGAAGCGTGTGATCTCATCTAATGAAGGCTTCTGCAGAAGGGTGACTAAGTTTTTCCATTTTGATGACTTTAGTTCCGAAGACCTTGCTAAAATCCTTCAACTTAAGATGAATAATCAAACCATGGATAGCTTGCTCTATGGGTTTAAGCTGCATCCTTCATGTAGTGTGGATGCTGTTGCGTCACTGATAGAAAAAGAAACTACTGAAAAGCAGCGTAAGGAGATGAATGGAGGTTTGGTGGACCCAATGCTGGTTAATGCTAGAGAAAATTTGGACTTGAGGCTCAATTTTGACTGTATAGACACAGAGGAATTACTCACAATTACCTTGGAGGACCTAGAACTGGGCCTTAGAGGTTGCTATCACAATGAGACAGAGTAGGGTGAAAAATCACAAAAAATAATAGAAGAGTAAGAAAACACTTGAGTTCATTCTTTGGCATGATTCTTTGGAGATTAGTCAGAAGCTTTAGCTAAGTTGCGTTGACCATCTGACAGTCACTGCTGGATGCTTGATGCTTGATGCTTGATGCTGGAATACACAGGTTAACAATGGGCAGGCATATTTTTGAAGGTCGTCTTCTTGTAAGATTTTCTTATTGTAATTTAGATGGTCATAAAATCCAACGATGCCTTTCTGGAATTTCTTTGTCCCTGTTTGCATTTTTTGTTTAGAAAATTGTTTATCTAGTTTCCTATGTAGCTATCCAATTGTCGTAGGTCAGATTAACTTGTTGGATCTTGCATCATATTCTTTAATGAGAAATCCTAGCTTTCCTGTGGACCATTTGTAAATTGAGTTGTTGGTCTTTTCAGTTTCTGCTATTTGGAGGGAGCTATAAAAAGTTGTTAATAACCCTACCTTCTTTCTCTCAAAGCTTCATTTCTATCATGGTCCAAGGTTGCAGAATAGGTCACCAACTTGGAGATCACATGTCACGGCCTTGTTGGCCTATACTTTGAACTACTGGGGTACTTCAAAAGGGTCTAAAAGAGATCAATGGATGTGGTATTCCATTTATGTTCCTATGGCAAGAGTGAGAGCAGTCTGCAGATGGTAATATCTCAATGTTTTTTTTCCCCGTTGATTCCTTGTTATAATCGTAGCTGAGTAAGTTTTCAGGCTGAGTTGTGTGGCCACATTGGGCTCTTGACCCCATGTGCCTCTCCTATTTGCTTCTCTCTCGATACAGCTGATTATGTGAAGCAGGAAAATTAGTTCTTCTGGTGAGCAAAATTTTTTTGGCCTGTTTGGTATATTTTTTGGGAAGGGTTTGAATTGGATTGTTTAAACTCGGGTTTGACCAAAGATGGGATTCAATATTTAATGTTATTCATACCCATATTTGGTATGTGCAAGGATATATGACTATTATGATAATATGTTTGTATTTAAATGATTACTGTGTCCCTTAACTAATTTAATCCAAACATGGGTATGAATATATGGGGAGTATAAATGTCATTTGAATGTGAAACCCCCAAACCCACATATGAAATCCCCCCATGGGTTTCATGATCGGGTCATGACTGAGCCGGATTTCAAACTCTGGGCGAAATCCATAGTTACCAAATATGGGTTTAAGGAGGTTTAGTTCTAAACTTATGTTTCAAAATCCCTCCAAACTCACATACTAAAAAGTCCTTTTTATTTGATGTTTTATTTAGGCTTGACAATTTTACACACATGACTTGCAAACTTGGCATATTGCTTCAGTACACGGTTGGATTAAAAAAAAAATTATTGTCGATTAGAGGTGTGTCAATGGTGTCAAATAATTTTGTCTAGAATTAACACAACAAATTAATATGATTAAACAACTCATGGTATCGGGGACTCTTGCAAATATTTGTTGCAACGATATTCCGGCACGTTGTATACCCATGAACCATGGAATCTAATAAAAGGGCCCAATCTCAACAGGACAATCAATGGTATATGTGGGTTCTGTTGCTTGACGGAGTAGTAGTAATTTGACACTTGTGTAGGCTAAAGACTCCAGCTCCTCTTAAAAGTGTTGGTGCCAATTGATGATGCACAAAATGGCTTTGCATACCACTTGTTAAGTGTAAATAATAAATACAGTAAAAGTAAAGAGAGAATTAGAAGAGACAAGATTTATAGTGGTTCGATCAACGTGACCTACATTCACTCTTGAATGGCTTTGGTCGCCGGGTGTTTTTATTAGTTCAAGGGTTTAGGGAGCAAAGAGTACAACTTTTGAGGGAGAAGAGAGAGTCATGGTCAAGTAAAGTGTGATGCCCTCAGGTGTTGGTGGGGCGTGCAACTTATAGTCGCCCTCCTAACAAATTTGAATGAGGTATTAGCAATTACATAACTATTCTGGTGGAGCTAATGACTTCTCCTCAACGGGTTAGACAGTTGTGGTGGTCTCCATGAGATTCGGTTAAATGATGACGTGAATGTTGACTCTTTCCAAGGGGAAGATGATAAGGCTCTTTATGCTCTCTTGATGGCGTGGCGTAGCTTCCTGATGAGCCTGACTCCAAGGTGGCTAGGATAAGACTTCTTACTCCAATGTGGCTATGATGAGCCTTACTCCAAGATGGTAGAGGAGGAGGCTATTGAATGACCTTGCATGCTCCTCTACTGATGTAACTCGTGGAATCTGATGAACTTGATTGGGTGTAGACTCTTTTGAGCTTGGCTAGTTGGACCTATTAGAGTTGGGCCCTTGGGCTTGACCCATATGTTGTATTGAGAGAAGACATGCAACAACTTGAAGAAACAAAACCCAGAACATAAATGTGATCTTCCAATAGAAAGGAATTGGTGCTGAATTCCTTAGCCCATTTTACAATTTTTGGGTCCTTCAACTTCCATATTTTCATTTTTGCACTCTCAAGAAAATAGTACACCAAATCCAAAATCCCATTTATGTGCACCAACTGCACCATATCTGGATTATAATCCAAACACCCTTCAGGCAATGAAATAATTCTCAACTTCTCATTCTCCAAATCTAATGACAAAATGAAATATTTATTGACGGACACGAAAAGACATTCGTTTTAGAACATTATACATGGATCCACCCAAACAATGAAACACCGAGAAAGCAGACCGGGCACGAGGTCAAAATCCAAGGATATGTTTCCCATTATGCGAAGGGTAAAAAGAATTCCACAGGGTCGGGCATTTAACGGTAGGCAAGGGTGTGAGCCCATCATGACGTGAGCAGGTAACAAAGAAATGCTTATTCCCATTGAACGGTCAGATCAGATTACACCACAATCCCAAGAGATTCAAATAAAAACATGATCTTAACTAACGTCGATCTAACAATCCAAGTTGATGTCAATGTCCTAGTGGCCTATTAATTACATGATTCGAGGGGAGTATAACTCACTGATAATTATACCTTTGAAAGTTCCCTCGATTGACTTGATTGGATGCCAATATAGCCACATCATCCTATTAAAAAGTATAAATACTTCAATGAGTGAGGTCTCAAGTACACATTTGCGAACAATCTAACACAATAAAAACTTTATCCTCCCCCTTTGAGCACCTATTGACTTAGGCGTTGGAGGGGATAAGTTGAACACGTCTCCGACTCTTTTCTGACCCTGTTATTTGTTGCAGGAGTAAATAGTACAAATTCTACCGTGATACAATTATCTCAACTCATTGCAAGAATTTTCCTGTGCATTTATCAATATGATCTTGGGTGATTAACAAGTAAATAACTCCATTATAGCTTACCGATAACCTTGAAAACCAAAAACAGTCCCAATCTCAATAGGGCAATCAATGGTATGTGTAAGGAATATCAATTAATATTTCACTAGTCAAATTTGGATTGGACTCAAAATTCAATCTTTTGATACCTATAAGGCTGCAACTTACCCAAATTGAACCAAACTTACAAGAACTTTAGTTAGATCTAATTCAAACAAGACCCATACTTTAAAATTTTGGGCTTGAATAAATATGTCAGGCTGAATTTTGGATTCAACTTAATGGTAATTCTTAGTTCAAAACTTGGGCTTGTATTAGATTATATAACTCGGACCTAAATTTGGATTCAATTAAATTGAATTTGTATTCATTTCAATTTGAGCCTGAATTCACCAGTTTGTATTGGATTTAGGTACCTAAAAATTCAATATCCCACTTGAATTAAAATCAGGTTGAATATTGATTTAAACTTGTTCCAAATACTAGAAATCTATATAGAATACATATTTTGATTTGAGTTCGGCTAACCCACCTAAATTACACCCTTTATAAATTTTTTTTTTGCTGGTACACCCTTTATAATTACTCTACTAGCTAACCACTATAAATATAGCTGCCAAGAGCAAAAATGGGTTAGAGGTTTGGTTTTTACGGAGTGAGATTCTCTTTAATATATTTTAAGATTTTCTCTTCAATCCTCTTTTTTAGAACTTCCACCCATTATATACAAGTGGACCTCTCACTTATTAATGGTGGATAATCCACAAAGAAGGAAATTGAAGAAAAAATGCATTGGAAGGAATCTAGATCCGCATCAACAAAAGTTGAAATTTGAGCAATTTTGAACAAAACTAAAGGGCGTACTCAGTGCACAAAGCTCTAGTCAATGCAGGGTCTAAAGAGGATTAGATGTACACAATCTTACTTTTACAAGCAGAGAGACTATTTCTACGACTTGAATCCAAATTTTGCGCCAAGGCAATAGGAGGTGTGTGAATTGTGTTAAATCATTATGTCTAGAATCAACACAATAAATTAATCTAATTAAACAACAACTCATGGTATTAGGGACTCTTCTTGTAAATATTTCTCGAAACGGTATTTAGGCACTTGATATCACCATCGTACACAATAATATTTCGGCTATTATATGCGGGTGAGTTCATCTTGTTCGAAGAGAAAAGAGGTTGTCAACGTAGAAGCACGTTTCTAGGTGGTAACCTAATTGGTTCTGCAAGATTCGAGTTCCTGTTAAAGTGTTGGTGCCAATGCTGTAGTAGACAAGACTTTCTATCTCTGAACAGCTTAACAGTTCTTCATTGCAACAACTTGAAGAAACAAAACTCACAACCTTAAAGCAATCCCCCAAAGCCAAAGGTAACCAGTAAATAACCCCATTATAGGTTGGTAACTAATAAACCATGGAAACAAGCAAAAGGCCCAATCTCAATAGGACAATCAATGGTATATATCCGGGGAACAGGATAAGCTCTTCCGTTGATTGGCGGAATAGTAATTTGACACATGCCAAGCCAATATCTCAAACGGTCCAAAGTGTGGATCCAAGGAGAAGTTCGGGCAACTACATATTCGTTTGTAGATGGATTTAACCCAAACTACTGTGCATCATGAAAAAATGGACACGGTCTAATCTGAGGATGTGGTACTGTAACAATTTCTCGAGTGTTTGGAATACAAATACAAGGCCACTGGTGATGTCCATGGTGGTTATGTCGATGATACGTTGGGATTTCTTTTTTTCTCTTACAAATCCATATCAGGACCTAAATGAAAGCAAGATGGGGTTTCTCGCAGATTGATCATAAAGTAGTTTTGCAAACGCACTTGAACTTGCAAAGAACCTTTGCGGGAAGTCTTGAAAGTACGTCATTGATCAGAACCTGAGGAAGATCAAGCATACAAATCGTCTCGTTCAGGGTCTCAATGTCGGTCATAATATTCTTTGTAGTTGAATCGTCTACAATATCAGTGCAACCAGTGATGCACCACTGCCATGGCCAGAGCCATATACCCTTTGCCATGTTTGGTAGTAGAATCCTAGAGGAGAGAGAATTGCTTTGTCTACAAACAACAGCACACTAGTCTCTCTGAAGATCGAAACTTAATTTGGCTTAGCCAGAGAAATATATTAGATTGCATAGAAGAGATATTATGGGATATAGACGGTTGAGACCTCATGGGATATGCACTTCTTGTAAATATTGGGTGTAATTGTTACAGCATTGTTGACATAGTGTAATAATCCAATAAAAAAAGAACAAAATATGGTCTATTTCCTATCACGAAGGTGATTATGTATGACATAGTATAATTCTTACATTTATATTTTTTCGTTGACTTTGGAGTGTTATTAGTGCTCCTTTTGGTACGATAGAAAAATAAAAGAATAAAAAGTTG